TCGAATCGGTGACGCAAACACAATATCACCAAAAACTCGATAAAAAAACTTCAAGGGTTTCAAAAAAAAACTTCAAACTTCAAAAAAGTAATCTTAACAATATAAAGGGATTGCAAAAAAAAAACTAAAATTCAACTCAACTTCGATGTGGGATTTGTATGCAAATGTAGTATATAAAAATGCGAAAAAGAAATGTATTTCAGGTAAAAATGATAAATGTAAAATATAAAAATAATATTTAAAATTTGAAAAGTAATAAAATAATATTAAGGATAGATGACTAAAATTATAAATAAAAATATATGACTTTAAGTGTTTAACTAAAGTAGGAAATATTAAAAATTCAAACAAATTCAGGCTTTGTTCGTTTTTTTTTTTTGGGCGCAACTTTCGAATTATTTATTTTTATTTTTGTATTTAAAAATTTGTATAAAGTCTCTTCTTTTTTTTTGTGTTAGATAGGTGTATTTATATCTATATAGTTTTGCTTTGGTGTGTGTTGGTGTTGCCTTGGCGAGGTCATTGTGGGAGCGTTGGTCCGTGTGTCCACTGTCCAAAAGTCAAACTCAACTAATCCCCCTCTTTATGTTAACAAGTGTGGCACTTCAACGATTGAAGTTTTGGCTCCAAGCGCGGCTGCCACATTTTCCACCAAAACCCATATTGTAAACTACCCTCTGAGCGAAACTTCCATAAGCCCCACGTATATGCGGTGCTGGACCGCACACACGGCAGCTTGAATGGTATATCTCACAAAGACAAAAAAATAAAAATAAATAAATATCAACTGGCCATCGTCTCATCTTCAGTTCCCACTCATAAGAACGCTGAGGTCCTTAAGAGGTACCCTGAATATGAGGCGGGCACTCCCCCCTATTTGCCAATTGGGCACAAATCGCCTACGGTGACCGAAGACAATGATACCCCCTTGACACTAACCGTCCGATAGAAAGGAAACTAAGATAGAAGTATGCAAAAAGAAAACTAAAATGAACTGAAAGAGGAAAAGGTCTTAGTATTAGCAATGATGGGAAATCTAAAATTAGTGGGCTATTACGTTGGGCGCCATTGTAATGTAGCAACATGGTCGAGCCAGGCGAGGCGGCATGCAGGCA